ATAATTCCCACGTCTTCATTCTCCCCAAACAGTTGATTGCAGGGTTACTAATCCCAACCTGCTTTAGCCAGCCCCCATTAATCATGGCTGGCAGGAAAGACTAGAGGGTCATGGGTAATTGAATTCCAGCCAACCTTCAAACCTAATTTAAGTCAACCCTTTGACCTCTTTCCTGACCAAATCTGCTGCCAAATCTAGTAAATAAAGGTTGTTTTTAAATGAAAAGAAGCTTTTTTGAATGCCTACTGTGTGCGAGCTTTGTGAGAGACGCGTCTGCTATCCCACTTCATTCATTCATTCTGTCAACATGTCCACGCACCCAGACACAAGGATTAGCAGGGAGTGGAGATGAGCGGAAAGGTCATCCTGGGGTCAGTCCAGGGAAGGAAATCTGTGCTCTGCAGACACCCAGACTTCCTATCTTTAAAAGAAAAATCTGTAGCGTGGAAGCCCCGTGCACACAGGAAAATGCAATGAGAAACACTTCCCTTCTCTCCAAAAAAGCCATGTGGGGTCTTCAGAGGTCAAAGACTCCCACTCGGTCCTCCCTCCACCACTGTGTTTGACTCGCAGTGTCAGGTGCCCTGGTTAACCTCTCTGGGCCTCAGGGTCCTCCTCTGTGACGAGGGGCAGGGTGTGTGCGTGGGGCAGTGACAATGCCAACCCAGAAGGCTAGCGTGAGCATTGGGGGGTTAAGAGATACCAGGTGGACGGAAGCGCCTTGTAAACTGCAGGCTCCTCGCACACTCGACAGTACTGGGAATTGAACTCTCTGCTAAAACTGCCAACCAGCCCTGAGACCAGTAAAAGATGGGGCTTCAGATCAAAGGCCGACACGAGCAGTATACACTCATTTTAAATAAAGGAAGTTCAGGTGGAATTTCTTAGGAAATTTGTGTCATTCACTTTTTTGCGGGGGGGTACATCTCTGTATCATCACGATGTTTGCTGGATATCGATATATATAGGTATATAAATACATACATATTTTTTTCTGTATTCTGTTGCTAGAATGCTTTTCTGGCATTTCAAAGTCTCCAGAGACCACTCCACCTTCCCCTACCTATTTCTCACTCTCAAACAGTTAGAAACCAGCTCACCAGCAACTAGGAATGTTCAGCCGTCACCACCCTTGAAGCCACAGTCGAGCTAGCCCGGAGTCGCTACAGACAGCATTCTTGGCGGCAATATGTTCTTTGGAACGGTGAGTCAAGGATGTGCCGAGGTTTGTTCAGGAAAAAAAAATGAACATGCTTGAATACTTTACTTTCTCTTTTCAGTTCCAAAATGACACAAGGCCCCTAAGATCCCACAAGCAGCCAGGGACCCCGAGCAGCCCCGCGAGGCTGGGCGGAAGGGGTGATGTTAATGGAATCATCCCCCGTCTTCTGTGCAGAGATAACGACCCGGGCGAAGATGGGGAGTCTCTGCAGATAAACGCTGCAGCAGGGACCTCCGTGTTTATTTTCCCTGCTACACTGTCATCTCCACTGTTTAACTTCATCTGCATCACTGCTGACCCCAGGCCACACAATTTCACTGAAAAGAAGGAAATTGGAGAGCCCAAACGTACCCGTGATGGTTAAACAGTTGCAGGAGATGTGGGTTGGGATGTTTTTGCTGCTCTAGTCAAAGAGAACCGCATCCTCCTCTCTGGAGGGACAGAAATGGGAGTAACACTTGAATACTCACGGTGGGCCGCAACCTGTGTTAAGCATTTTATACGGACCGTGCTATTTAATCTTCATACACAACAATTCCACGAGTTAAGGACTAGTAGAGGAAACTGGGTGTCAGAGAAGTAACTGGCCCACGGTCACGCGATAGTGAGCCAGGGAGGGAGGGCGCCAGCCGGAGCAGACCAGCTCCAGCTGTTCACAGCAAACTACCGGAACGCCCGAGTCCCCCATTTCCAGTCTGGTCTTCTGGGCTTTATGGATGGGTTCAGGCAGTTTTATTACCTCTACAGCTGCCCCTGCTATCTTTATTGGAAAAGCTGCCAAATCTCCCATCCGGTCCTCGGTCCAGTTCTGTATTTCTGTTTTATTGAGAAAGTGTTTGCATTCACCCCCGTGCGGTCAGGCCCGAGCTTTGTAACTCACCCCCAGAGGCCTTCACATTGGCCAAGGTCCCTGTCTTCCTCCGCCAACCTGTAAGCAATCACCGCCTCGTCCCTCTGGAGGTTTTCCCGCAGAACTTACTGCGAAAATAGGATACAGAAAACCTGAAAGAACGTTTCAGTGCACATCTGTCTAGCCTCCACCAAACCCAACAATTGTTAACATTTTGCCATGTTTGATTTACTAATCAGTCCATCTTTCTACATTCTTTTTGAGCCATTGGAAAGTTAGTTTCGGAAATCACAACGCTTGAGGCCCAAATCCTTCCTTCAGCACGCGTCTCCTAAAAATACGGAACATTCCTGACATGACCCCTGTATTGTGATGAGACCTGAAAAAGTTAACTATAATTCCTGAATATCATCCATTATTAGGTGATCCAATAGTAAATTTCTTAACCATCCCCCAACCGTCTTTTATAGCGGGTATACTTTTTAAACCAAAGTTTGTGCGCCGTCTTCGTAGTATGCCACTTTAGTCATTCGTAATCTAGAGCAGCTCCCCTCCCATCTTTTGTTTTTCTTTCCACCACATGAGGTTGTGGGACAATCTCTCTAGTTGTTGCAGAGTTGAATTGTGTCCTGGTCCTAAGGATCTCCACTGGTTTCCGGGGCAACTCGCAGCCAGGTGTCCGTGAGATGGCAGCTCCAGACTTCCCATATGGAAGGGGCTCCGGAGGGGGGGCCTCGGGTTGTCAGGAATGAGGGGCGAGAGGATTTTTGCAGAACAAAAACTCTTTTTAAAATAACTTAAATTGTTAATTTGCTTGACAAGTCTAGTGTCCTTCCGTAGAGGTCGTCTGTACTATAAGAGAGGTAATACATGGTAATGCTGAATGATACAGACTGAGCAAACTGCTTAGATTCAATCCTTGGCATTGCTACTTTTAAGCTGTGTGACCCTGAACAAGTTACTTAACCTCTCTGTTACTCACTTAAATCATTTGTAAAATGGTGGTGACGATAATAACAGACTATAATTCACATTTTGTGTTGAAGTGAATTAATAAGCACAAATAGTGAGACTCCTGCCTGAAACAGAATATCATCCGTAAGTGGTCGCCATTATCATTATCTATATTCTTCTCCCACCTCCTGTCAACTTCCTTCGCCGGTCGTTCCCTGGGCCTGGAGCGCCCAGCGTTTCTGGCTGCCGATAGCTTTACACACGGCCCTGTTACTTCACGTTTAATTTATCCTGATTGACCTGGGGGACTTCTAGTTCGCCCTCAACCTCATCTTCTTTCCTCTCTCTAATCCGTGTGTCTTGTTTCACCAATTAAATTCTTTTTAAAGTATCCATTTTGTTCCCCTTTCTTCTGTTGTTTTGTGTGTCTGGAATAAACCTCTCCTTTTTTGCACAGAGGCATAGCATCCTTAGATTGAAGATACAGTTCTATCTGTTATTTCTAATCTAGGAACACTTTCTTGATTAAGTGAATGTTGAAGCTTCTTGGTTCCCACTCATTCACTCACTCAGTCAGTCAGCCAAGTTTTTCAATATTCTTCTGGACCCGCATGAGGAACTGGGCGCTGGCTAGACACAGGAGACAGCAGTGAACTAAATGTGGTTCTGGCTGTGGACAGATAACAGGCCAATTACGCAGAGCAAAGCAGAATTGCAGTTCGGGGAGAGTTGAACCCTGCACCCTGTCCTCATATGGGATTCTAGGAGAGTGAAAGAAGGCTCATGGATCCCTTTCTCCAAAGGTGTATTCTCTATTGTCCTGAAACTCCTATCCAGAGAGTAGCTAGAGCTGCTATCTGGTTTCATACAAGCCCTTTAAACATTTCTAGAATCATTGGAGGCTTTAGCTATTACTGCTTATTTCCAGAGAAATGCATGTATTTTATTAGGATACCTATAATGGCATAACTTCCTCATCTGAAGAATGGGAATAATAATAATATCTACATAATAGGTTGTTATAAAAAGCAAGTTAAGAGTAAAAATACTTTGAATGCAGCATGCATTTATATGCTTGAATAATAAATAAAATCAAGTCTGTTGAAGATTCATGATGGAGCAGGTGAGCTGTGAGGGGTGAAGGGAGGAAAGGCAGGAAGCGTGAGGCCTGCTCAAGCAGCAAATGGGCAGGAAGCACTTGAAGAGACTGGCGAGGTCAGAGGAGAATTCAAAGATGAACTTTGACTACTTCATGAATTTTATTTTAAATGTGGCCTCATGCACTTTCTTTATTCTGAGTTCTAGATTCTAATCAATGACTTTCAATCTCTTAAAGAGGGAAGCCCAGTACAAGATTCTTGGCCAGAAAAATAAGGTATCAGGTGTATGCATTCATATTGCTGTATAACAAATCACCACACGCTCAGTGATCTAAAACAAAGTACATTTGCTCCCTCACAGTTTACGCAGCGCAGGAGTCTGGGCACACCTGAGCTGGGTCTATTATGAGGCTGTAATCAAGGTGCTGGCCAGGGCTGGTTCTCATCTGGACGCTCAAATGCAGGAAGGTATGCTTCCAAGTTCATCCCACCTGTTGGCATTATTTATTTTCTTGCAGCTGGAGGACTCACACAAGCTTGGTTCTTTAAAACCAGCAGGGAGAGTCAGACTCTGGAGTGCGTCTGCCAGCAAGGCAGAGTCTTATGTAAGGAAACGTCATCATGGGGGTGATACCCCATCACTGTTGTTGTACTGTAATGGTCAGAAGCAAGTCCCAGGTCCTGACTACACTCAAGGAGACAACATTATACAAGAGCATGAACACCAATAGCAAAGGATCGTGGGAGCCACCTTAGAGCCTCTCGGTCACAGTAAACAGGTCTGAACTCTCTTTTTAAAGTACTTTCCACATGAGTAATCAAGGAAGCCGAAGACTTGAGAAAATGTAAAATATGAAACTCAGAGACCTACAAATACTCATCCCATGTGTTTTATTTCAGCGGGAGGTGGATAACACCGCATTCTGTAAGCAGTCCTTGACCCGTGACAAGTGTGGCATCGTCAAAGGTGTGCCCTGGAGCATGCGCAGCATGCTTTCCCCAAGTCAGTTCTGCATCCTTGTGAGGAAGTTACTTTCATCCGGTTTTGTCTTCGGGAATGAGGAGGCGTATTCCCAAACCCGTGTCACGACGACCGCAGTTGAGACATTTCCTGTGTGAAGTCGCGCTGGCTGTTCTTATGTCTCCAATGACTGCGTCTCTCCAGAGACCTCGCCTGGAGTCGCCAGAGCCCCGGAAAAAATGTACAAAGTACAAAGGGAGGCAGGCAGTTAAAAGCGTTCTTTTAAAATGTGACAAAAATCATGGTATTCAAAAGGAGCATTAAGAGCAAAGTCCCCACTGATGTCTCATCTTATCTCCCTTTTTAAACCTCTAAGAAGAGTTTATGTTTTATATTTCACACCTTCTCTTTTCTCCAATTAATTATTCTCTTAATTGTAAAACAGCTGTATGTAACAGTTGCTTAGGAAAATGTTGTGTATTTAATGTATCTTCTTGTTAGGGCTCAGAATTAGCATCATTTGAGATTGCCTCAAAACGTTGGAAAGGAGGGAAGGGAAGGGAAGGGAAGGGAAGGGAAGAGAAGAAGGGAAGGGAAGGGAAGGGAAGGGAAGGGGAGGGGAGGGAAGGGAAGAAGATTCCTCTTCGAGTACTTAACCTTAGTCCCCCTCTCTTCTCCATCTGGCTCACTTCCTACACCTACATGTAGAAAAGAGCCAACCTGATGGCCCAGGGGAGAGTACAATAAATGACCAGCAGGGAGTGTGAGCTTCGGTCACTCCCTGAACACTGCGGAGATTTCTACAAGGCTGGGCTTCTGCATAACTGCTCCCTGAACCCAAATATTCCTTCAAAGGGAACAAAAGTTAAGTTTTGTGTGTGTGATGAAGATGGTAGAGGTGGAGATCTCTGTTTAATGTGTGGTGTTCAGAGCCTGTCCTCTTCTCCTCCGCACTCAGCTTTGCCCCAACCCCACTCTCAAAGGAAAGGAGAAGCTTTGCAGTCAACTGGACAGAGAAGCTAGCGGGAGAGTGGGAGCGTGTTCCCCAGGGGCTGGGACAGGGGAGTGGATCCGGTCAGGAGCAGTGTTTGGGGGCTTGAGCTCTTCGCTGATAAAGATGAAAGAGGAGGTAAGGAGGGAAGCATAAAGCCTATGGATAAAAAGGGTTTGGGGGCTAGAAATTGGGTGTATCGGGTGTGTGGGGGCTGGGGGATAGAGAATAGGGATTTTAATGACAATTGCTCTAGACCTTCTACTGGACTCCTTAAATGTTAGAAGACTAGTGTTCCTGTGTGGGCTGGGTGAAGTGTTACATCACCCCGATCACCCCCAAGCTTGTGTTATTGTGTGTGGCACATATTATTATGACGCCCCATCCCCAGCACGTGTTTCCTAGGGTTGCCATAGGTAAAGTATCGCAGACTGCCTGGTGTGGAACAACAGAAGTGTGTTCTCTCACAGTTCCGGAGGCTAGAAGTCCAGAAGCGAGGCATCAGCAAGGCCACACCCTGTCTGAACCTATAAGGCACAGGTGGCAAATGCAAGGCCCACAGGCTGAATCCAGCCCTCCACTTTGTTTTATCCTGCCCAGCACCTTGTTTCTACCTGGTGGCAGTGCCGAGCTCTCGCTTAACTGTTAAGGAGTGGTTACATGTATACTGTCCTAAAATTACATGCGGCCCTTCGAAGGCAACTGAGAGGCTGATGTGGCCCCCAGGGAAAATGAGTTGGAGACCCCTGCTAAGGGAACCCTCCCTTGCCTCTTCCTAGCTTCTCACGGTTGCTGGAAATCCTTGGTGTTCCTTGGCTTGCAGACACAGCATTTCCATTCTTTGACCCTGTCATCATATGTGTTCTTTGTCTCTGTGTGTGTACTGTTGTGTGTCATCACCTTTTATAATGAGGACACCACTCACATTGGTTTAGGGCGTACTAACCCAGCATGACCACATCTTAACTGATTACATCTGCAAAGACCCTAGTTCCACGTAAGAGCATATTCTGAGGTTCTGGGTGAACCTGAATGTGGGGGGAGGCTATTCAATCCAGTACAAAACACAGCATACAGAACACAGCATACAGTTAAAACTATTACCCACTTAAATGGAGCATTTATGCTCCAATTAGACTGGGACACAAAGCCCATGAAATTCTGCTTGGGGAAGGAATTGATCTGAAACTGTCAACTTCTCTAGTGCTTTCCTGCCAGCAGACCACATCTCAAGCAATATGCTATACTTTTCTGCTGACCTTATTCTCCAAGCTACCATTTTCCTAGGCCTCCCCCACACACGGACACGCACACCACCACTAGCAGGAGAAGGGAGATCTCGTTGGTTGTCTGCCCATGCCACCCCCAGCACCTACAGACGAAGCACTTTGCTTTCTTATTTTAGAGGAGGGCTACCCCATGTCTGTCCAACATCACACAGAGGGAGGGTCCTTCTGCAAAGCATGGATCTCAGGTTTGGCCAGAAAGGGTGTAGGGAGGACTGGAAGACCAGGGGACACTGGACTATCTTGTTGTGGGGCACAGAAATGTGGAATGGGTACAGTGACGATGGACTACTGCTCCAGGAATTGACACCTCTCCCCTTTAGTTGAAAAGGTCTTATAAGAACCTCATTCACTAAGAGCCAGAAGATGTCTTGGGCCCTATTTTGCCCAAGCAAGGGGTTTGTATGACTCAGGACAGGTAGAGTCCAGCCTCAGATTTACTTACACCAGACTCAGAGGTGTAAAAAGAACATAGCTTCTTAACTTTCTACAACCAATCCAATTGTCCCTAAGTGTTGCCCGACCTCCACACCACTGACTAATGAGGAGTGCGGGTAGAGCTGAATTTTAGTCCAATCTGGTAGACTCAAGCTATTCCCATAAGCGGTCTCTTTTGAGTGAGTCAGTTTTTTCCAACTGTCATCACTCTCCCTGTTCCTCTCCAAGATGGTATTTGGGCACGTGGGAAGCTGTGGGCCACAGGGGGAGAGGGAGGCCCCTGGAGCTGCACTGCTCCCCCACTGGAAGCCAGCTGATGCCTGTGGGGGTGGCTGGTCTCCTACTAACCAGGACCGTTTGGAGGAAGGTCACTGCTAAAGTGTGCAGCCGGGGCTCTTGCAGTATGGTCTCTCCTTGGTCGGAGAGGGCACAAGTCCATACTGCCTCAGCTCCACTGCAGCCCACACTGGCACTCAGGATGGGGCTTCCTGTCAGGCCCTAGCTTGGTGGAGGGACCACCCCATGTCCCATCATGGCCACAACCTCCTCTAGGGTCAGGCCACAGGCACTGAGGGCCCTCAGGGAGAAAGAGGTGTATGGCTCTAGTTGTCCCATTTTGAGCAGCTCTACCTGTCTTTGACGATTCTCAGCCATGTCCTCTCCCAGGACCAGGGCAGGAGCCTGCGAGTGATGTAAAAGGAGGTAATTCGTTGCCACATTGCCCTGGGTAGCTCAACTCTCTGAACCATGACGGGCGGCAGAGACTGGTGAGGGAATGAACGCTTACGTAAAAAGGGGAACAGCAAGAAACCTGAGAAAAAGCCGTTGTGTCTCCAACCGAATCTCAATGTTACTGTTTGAAAACATAGCCCGTAACGGTGGGGGTGGGGTGAGGGCAGAGAATGGCAGACAAGTCAGAAGTTAATCATTAAGCTCTGGGCCAGTGCTGTCCAACAGAACTTTCTGCAATGATGGACATTCTGAATCTGCATTGGCCACTGCAGTAGCCACTGGCCACTTGTGGCTTCTGAGCACTCAAATGTGGCCAATGCTACTGAGAATCTGAATTTTTAATTTGATTTAAATTAATTTAATGTTAAATTTAAATAGTCACATGTGGCTAGTGGCTAACACACCGGGCAGTCCAGCTCTATGCCCTAACCTTCATGTGCCCCAAACTCTGGGCCCCCCGCGAAGTCCTCGGACTTCTCTGCAGACTGATGCTTACAGTCTATTGTATTACCATGGAAACCAATTCATTTAATATGTCTATTTTTCTTTAATTTTTAATTAAAAATTTAAATTATTTAATTTAAAAATTTTTGATGCTACTTTATTAATGATTAAATATCACTCTAGCAGTGAGTGATCTAGCACTGATCATTGCAAGTTTGAAGAGTGATGAAAATAAGCAATATTCTGAGATATCTGATACAATGTAATATGATATTTAAATATCTGTGATTTCTATTGGCGATAAAGTCACCTGCATGGTTACAGTTTGTGTTCAGTTAGGGGTTTTTTCCCATCCAAGTTCACAAACTTGTTGGGGATACAGGGACCCAGGCTGAAACTTCCTGCTCTAGACTTCTGTAAACCAGACAGGTGGATGAGTAAGGTTAGTGCATGCGAGAAATATTTATGGAATGTCTACCACCTGCCAGGTACTATTCTAAACACTTGGGGTGCAGTTGTGAATAAGACAGACAAAGCTGGAACTTTCGACAAGTTTGTATGTCAGTGGAGGAGGGAAACAAGGAGTCAACACAGATAATTTCGGGTGGTAGTGAGTACGACGGAGAGAATGCAACTGAGTGAGAGTGACTTGAAGGGATGGGGGCTACTGTAGATGGGGTGGGTCAGCGAGGTCACTCAAGGCAGTGACTCGGAGTTGAAGCTTCAATGAGAGGATCCAGCCACACAAAATTTGGAGACCTGGAGCTAAAAGACATCCGTGCGATTGGAGCGGTATCATCGCCCCGAGAGCACCATACACTCCAGGTCAGGGAGTGGGGAGGGCCCGAGTGGGTGCTGGGATCGGTGAGAGGTCATCAGAGATGGCAGGGAACTTCGGTTTCATTCTGAGTCCACGTGGAGTGGAAGGCGGATTACGTGAGCCCGTTGGTGAGTGGATTAAAAAGGGAAGCGGGGGCAGGGAGTTGGTGGAGGAGGCTGTGTTAGTAACTCAAGTGCAAAGTGATGATGGCTGGCGGCTGTGGGTATCGTCTTAATGCAGATAAAGGACACCCAAAGAAGGGTTTGTTGTTGTTTGTTGCTGAGAGGGAAATTTCAGAAATGTAGCTCGTTTAATATTTAGGTTTCTTATTTTTGTAAGGTGTGTACAACTTGCTGGTTTTCTTTTTTTTTTGACAACTCAGGAAGAAGCTGACCCCGGGAAGAATGTCCGACTTTGGCTGCTCTCTGTGTATTCCCTGCCGCCCACCCTCGCTCTCAGGGGAGCGAGTTCTCCCAGAAGACTCAGAAGGCGAGACTTCAGGGGAAGGGGAGAGGAGGACCCGGTATCACACCTGGACCCCTGCTCTTCCTGGGGCAGAAGTGGGGTGCATTTGGAGGGCTTCCTCCCTAGCCCAAGGTGGCAGGCAGGGGTGCTGGGGAAGGTTGTGGGATTTGAGAGCAGGTGGGTCTTGCTCCCTTCTGCTGGTCTCCCACCAGGACCCCCTCTCTCAGCTTAGTGCTTCCTAGGAAGTGTTAACCAGACTTGGGAGGCCGTTGCCCACTTCCTGCCCCAGACCCAGAGCTGTCTGCGGGGGCCCAAATGAGAGGGTGACTCAAGCAGAAAGTCCCCAAAGGTCTTCTCCCCCGGACATTGCCCAGGTCTCCTGTCACTTAGCCCACGGGTCTGGTTGGGCCCCAAACGGACTGCAGGCTCAGCCTTCCCTGCCTGTGAGGGGGCTCTGGGGAGGAGTGAGCATCCCACCCAGAGGTTCTGTGGGGAAGTGTTCCTCTCTCATTCCTCAAGGGTCCCGGGTCTTGAGGGCAGGGAGAGCAGGAGAGGGAAGGAGATGGGCAGGCTGGTTTTCCCCAACATTGGGGCTTGCGCTCAGTCCTGCCCGCAAGTTCTGCCAGAAGCCCGGGGGGCGTGGTGGGCTTTCTCCTGAGAACCACATTCCTCTCCTCCCCCGCACCTCCCTCGATGGGGCTTCAGCAGTTTGCCCCTCCCCCTCACGGGGCCCATTTTGCAACTGTGACCTTTGGTCCCAAGTCAGGGGAGCAAGCCCTCACTCCCACCTCTTTTCTCTCTCACCCCAGCCTCCTCTCCTGTTTCCTGCAGGTGCCGCCACCTCTGCGCCACCTCTGCGCCACCTCCCACTGCCGGCTGCATGGGTGTCCAGGGGAGCATTTCAGGTGCCGAGGTGCTGAGAGTCTGGCCGGGCCTGGCAGCATGAACAGGAAAGCTGCTGTGTTTTTCCCCTTTTCCCCCTCCTCCCCTTGGAGCCGGCAGTTTGCAGAACTTGGGTGCCTCAGAAGCAGTGGGGTGGGATGCGGAGTCTTGGCTGTGAAAGGTCCTTACAGGGAGCGAGGAGTAGGGGGGTTCTCTCAGGTGTGTGTATGTATATGGGGGAGGGGCATTGGGGAAGTGGGGTTGGGATCCGTCCCCTTCGAGAAGCAAGCAGCTTTGAGGCCCAGGGAAGCTTACTGATGGAGAGCCAGGGCCCCCACCGCCTCCTCTGCTGGTCTTGGGGAGCTCTACCCAAGACACACCCGCCCCCCAGTCTGCTCTCACCTACCTCATGGGCACTGGGGTAGGTGGGGGAAAGGCAGGTCCAGTTCTGGCCGTGTTGTGGGGGCCATGCCAAAGAATCCATGGGCAGGGGTGGGGGAGCTGCCTCACCAAGCCGGCCCTCTCCTTCCTCTGCCCAGATTGGGGTTGGGGCCCTCTCCTTCTCCAGCTGTAACCGTTTCTACCTCATTTTGCTGCACATCTTACACAGACGGATTTATCTCCTGTCTGACGATGCCTTGCAGTTGCCCTCTTCTACCTCAAAGAGACTGTATTTTAAAAGAAAATATTACACAGCATTAAAGTGATGACATGTGAAAAAAAAAAGAAAAGAAAAGAAAAGAAAAGTGAATGAATTCAGGCCCCATTTCCAGGGAGAGCTGAGAAACTATGACCAGGGAGCACGAAGGAAGAGAACAGTCTCAGAACGGCTCTGTGTCGTGTGCTTTGCTGAGACGGGAGACTGGGGGGGGAACAGATCTGAGGCAGAATCAAGACGAATTTTGGTTTTATTACCACCCTGCAGGGACTGAAGCAGAGGGCTTGGGTCTGCGAACCTGAAGCTCAGTGGAGAAGTCAAGAGCAGTTCTATCGATGCGGGATTCCCCGTCACACAGCGGGTGTGTAGGCCGTGGAGGGGGCGAAACCAAGCAAGGGCCGTGTTTGTGTGGAAAAGAAAGGGCTGGCTCTGAACCGTAAGGAAACTGAGTATTTAGGATTACATTTTTGGTTATTTATTGTGCACTTTTTTTGTTTGTTCGTACTTCTAGGTTGATATATGCTTCCAAAGGCAGGGTGGTCCCTCTGCTGCTCTGGGAAATTAGGGTTTAACTGCAGGTTAAGGCGATGACCTCATAGACACTTCTGATAAAATGCGATCATGCGATTTGCAAGGACCCATCACCATACTTTCCCGTAGCTAACTTCACAACGATGCTCTCGTGGGCACTTCCCAGGCTTTTCTGGAGCATCCAGCACTGAAAGAACCGCCCCCCGCACCCCGGCCCCTGAGCTCCCCTTCCCTCTGTGGATGTCCCAGGGTGCGGGCAGGTGTTCTGGTCTCAGCAATCAGCTCCGCTCACCCCCAACTTCCAGCAAGAAGCTGGAGTGGCAAAGTGGCAGGTGTCAAAGCCAGTCCATTCTGGAGAAGGTCGCTGCAAACCCATTCACTGCTGAGTCAGGCACGGTAGAGGTCAGCAGCAGTCACGTCCAATGTCCCGACAGTATCCAGAATATGAACCAAAGCATCTTTGTACAAGGTGACGCAGGAGCACCTCCACTGGAGTGGCCGAAGGAGTCATCTGGAACTCTCTTTCTTAGGACACATTCTCCATGCCTGGCCTGCTTGCCTTCGGGGAGCTACCTATTATTGCTTAATAATTCCTTTTCTGCTAAGCCAGTGTTGATGTTTAGTTTCCCAGGAAACAGACAGACAGAGATTTATGTGCAGGAGGTGTGGGGGCAGGGGGGAGTGGCCTCAGCATCAACATCTGTGGAGGCTGAGGGATGCAGGACAGGGCAGAGGAGGAGCCTGAGCTGAGGTACAGTTACAGTAGAACTGTCTTCTGAGCCTATGGGGAGCTCTGTGGCTGGGGGCCCTTCACACTTGCCCTGAATTGAGTCAAGGGGGGTAGTTTTGCCTCACTCCCCCAGCCCCCACTGCCCACTCACTGAGCACAGGCTACCCAAGGAGTGGGGTGTGTCCTTGGCCAAGATGACTCTGAGACAGAGAGCCAGCGGTTCCTGGCCAGGGTGCAGTGAAAAGCTGTCAGTACACCCAGTCTCCATGACAGCTCTACTGTGTGCAAACCCATCATGCCCGAGGACTCTAATAATGATCTCCTCTATAGAAACAACTTAAATGAGGAATTAAGGCTCAAACATATTCAATGAAGGGCTAGAAAGGGGTGGGGGCGAAACTCACACTCTGGTCTCAAGGTTACAAATGCTGGTTCCGTGCCTGCCCTCTGCAGAACGTTGCAGAGAACAAACAAACCCTCAGGAG